TTAATGGATAAAGGTGGCCTTTTTACTTTGCCATATGCCCACCAAGCTGCAAGTACGTTTTGTGACTTCCTCTTTAATGCTGCCATTGAAGATCACTTTTGCACGTTTTTAGCTGTATGTTTTGACAGAGGGAAAGTCAATATATTATTTGTGTAGGCTCAGGTCAAGTCATGCTGTTTAGGGATGACTGTCCTAAGCCCAGTTTGGAAGAGCCCCATTTATTATTCTAATTCGTAAATACTCCACTACACATTCACAAAAAGTATTTCTTTTCAAAATCTCTGCAAATCTCACTGCTTAAATCTAATGTAATTTCTGGAAAAGGAGCTCATTTTGAAAAACAACAAAGAATTGAGCTATAGTTTCATATGAATGGCAATGCCAAAATATTAGTGAAGATTTTCTGCAGGGATCACTTGGCTCCAAGTGAAGACAGCATGGTAAGTGCTTGCATAAAAAAACTAAACAAGGCCGGGCGCGATGGCTCACGCCTGTAATCCCAGCACTTTGGGAGGCTGAGGTGGGTGGATCACCTGAGGTCAGGAGGTCGAGACCAGTGTGGCCAACATGGTGAAACCTCATCTCTACTAAAAATACAAAAAATTAGCTAGGTGTAGTGACACATGCCTGTAATCCCAGCTACTCAGGAGGCCGAGGCAGGAGAATCGCTTCAATCTAGGAAGTGGAAGTTGTAGTGAGCCAAGATTGTGACATTAGCCATTACACTCCAGCCTGGGCAACAAGAGCAAGACTCCATCTCACACACACACACACACCAAAAAACAAACAAACAAACAAACAAAAAAACACCCACTAAACAGTTTTACTTCCCTGGACTGGGAAGTTCACATGGCTCTAGGAGATTCACAAAGGGTGTTTGCAGACTTTATGACACTCTTAAAAGATTGTGATGAAATGGGGAATCCCTTTCTGGCATTTAAACGCTGTATATGTCTAGTAGTTTCTTGAAATTTGTCAGCTAGAGCTTTATTTGTTCAGCTCAGGGATAGCAAATTACCTCAGTGCATGCCAAGACAATACACTGCTAATGGTTGCTATAATGAGAAAAGTTCTGAGGTCTTACTTGGTCTCATCCAGAATGTGTTGTCATCACTTAGCAATGATAGCTACGAGTTTTAGAATGGGGATTGGTGGAATGCATGCCAGATATCCTTTCTTTAAGGCTTTTTTTGTTTGGTTTTGTTAAAATTTAAATCTAAAAGTCTCATTTAATCTTCACATAAACTCTATGAGGTAAGTACTGCTATAATCTCGATTTCTTTTTTTTCAGATGAGAAACTAAGGTAAAGATACATTGTTTCCCAAAGTATTTAGTCAATTAGTGATGGAACTTATATTTGAACACATGCTTATCCAAACTAACTCCAGAGCCCAAGCTCTTAACTGCCACACAATATTTCTTAAGAATTCGGAAGCATTCATATTTAAAGGTGTTAACACTTATGCATACCCTAGAATGAATTTCTCTCTATTGTCTTATCTAAAATAAGAAAATACAAAATATTAATAAGGCTAGCAAGGTTGAAGACAAACTTTACCTACTTTATAACACTGTGTAAGACTAATTTTTTATCTAAATATCAAAAATAAAGTTTGGTGTATGACTACTCTAGTGAAGGAAATATGAATTATTTCTGGATATTTTAAGGTTGTAATGCAATGCATGTATATCATTTATACCTCCACATCTAACCTAAGTGGAAGTACTACTCCTAGATTAGATTTTTCACTCATTGAAACTTTTTATTCTTAAAGTAATGGTGTTAATCATCATGCCCCGATGAGATTTTAAAGGTACATAATTATATTTTGCTTTCCTTAAACACTTAAAGCATGTTCTTTTAATGGGATTACCTATTTATGGAAAGATACTGCTATCATTTCCCCCAAGTATTTATTTCTGTAATTAACTGTTAAATTATTTAAAAATGGGCAATTTATAGTATCCACATAAAGTAGCTTGGCTTTTACCCAAATGCAGAGAAAACAAAAAACAAAAAAAAGTCTTCAAATATTTTTAGATGGTGTAAGAAATGTCAGAGTATGCTTTGATTTATTGCCTGTTTTCTTTTTTTTTTTTTCACAGAAAAATCTGTCATTGCTCAACCAATATTTGTTTTTGAAAAGGGAGAACATACTTTTAAGGTAAGATTGTCTATTTCTTTGTTTAATTTTACTTTGACAAAGATAATTATATTTCAGGAAGCTAGTTATCCTGAAAGATATCACTGCTGCTTAGGTTTATGCTGTTCTTTACCAGCAGAGTAGTGCCTCCAGATTATTGATATAGTCAGGATTTACAAACATCAGTTTGGCTGGAATGCGAAGCCAGAGACCTTGTCTTGGAGCTATGGATAACATACTGTTTCATTATAGTAATATCTTTATTTGGAGTAACTTGAAAAGGGGAGGAGCTGAAAGAGATTAGGAGGGCTATAGCTCCTCATATGAGTCCTCACCACTGACCTAGCCTAAAACCAGGTAAAAAAATAAATTCTAAACTACGATATTTGATTTTAAAGGGACCTTTTGAACTCTGCCTGTTTTTTTGGCATCATACTAAAATCATCCGTTTTGAAAGACCAACAGTAAGATTAGTTGCTGGGCGTGATGGCTTGCGCCTGTTATCCCTGCACACTGCTAGGTCACAGTGGGAGGACTGTTTGAAGCCTGTGGTTTGAGGTCAGCCTGATCAATAAAGCAATACCCCATCTCTACAAAAAAAATAAAAAGAAATTAGTCAGGCATGGTGACATGTGCCTGTAGTAAGTCCTAGCTACTTGGGAGCCTGAGACTAGAGGATAGCTTGAGCCTAGGAGTTAGAGGTTGCACTGAGCTATGATTGCACTGCTGGCACTGAAGCCTGGGTGACAGAACAAGACCTCATCTCTAAACAAACAAAAAGCCCCACTAGATTCTCACTTTACCTTATTTCTTGGTATTCATTCTTATCCATGCAGGTAATTTAACCTACTACCCACAAAAACACTAAATGTAAGAAACACTCAACCTCCAAGCCCTTGTTTAAAAAACATTCCTGGGTCCCACCCAAGAACAACCACTTCAGAATCTTGAGAATAGGTGCCTCAAAATCTACATTTTTAAACGAACTTTCACAAGTGAATCTGCAGTCATTGAACTATAAAACTACTGGACTAGACTTTCGGTTTTTCTTGACTATGTGCCTAACAAATGAAGGTGAACTGCTTTGTCCTGGCCAGGCTAATTAGCCCTGGCTTCTGAGAATTCTGTAAAGTGGCAGGGTGGAAATCTGACGTACTAGGTTGGTGCAAAACTAATTGCGATTTTTGCCATTACTTTTAATTGCCAAAACTGCAGTAACTTTTGCACCAACATAATACAAAGGCAAATACTCAGCTCTCCTCAGTGGTTTTGTTTCCTTTCAGAGACCTGCAGAAGACACCCTGTATGAAGTAGCAGAACCAGGTAATGATTTTCATCCTGTATTCCAAAATCAGTCTTCATACAAACAAAATTAGCAGACACAAGTATTTTGGCATGTGGCACAGACTGTGTGAAAGTTAATGTTTTTTCTTTTTTTTTGAGACGGAGTCTCGCTCTGTCGCCCGGGCTGGAGTGCAGTGGCCGGATCTCAGCTCACTGCAAATGCCGGGTTTACGCCATTCTCCTGCCTCAGCTTCCTGAGTAGCTGGGACTACAGGCACCCGCCACCTCGCCCGGCTAGTTTTTTGTATTTTTTAGTAGAGACGGGGTTTCACCGTGTTAGCCAGGATGGTCTCGATCTCCTGACCTCGTGATCCGCCCGTCTCGGCCTCCCAAAGTGCTGGGATTATAGGCTTGAGCCACTGTGCCCGGCCTGTTTTTTCTGTTTTTAAATATGCCAGTAGATTCACTTTTGTTTTGAAATATGATATATAGGTCCCTGAGAACACTGATGTTAGTGACTAAAATTCACTGTGCTCCACTCCCTGCCCCTCAACCTATCAAAAACATTCTCTGTAGACCTCAAAATGCATATACAAATTATTGCTGACACCAGTCATTTCTAATTGTTTCATACTAGCATGATATGCCTATAGGTTTATAATCAATCAGCAACCTATTAACCCCAATATTTAAAATAGTGATTTAAGGGTTAATGTGTTATCAAATGATGATCTGTGTAGACAAAAGAAAATTCTGTTTATCCTACCCTATCATGAGTTGAAGATACTTTGTTATTGCAAGTAATTTTAGCCTTCCCATTGCTTTTCTTGCAGAACGTAATGGTTTTTCAAGAAAGCGTGTACGGTCTTCATCTTTTACTTTTCATATTACAGATTCTCAGTCCCAGGGAGGTATGTATAGCCTTGACTGTTGACTATTCACTGTTATGTTTATTCTGAATGCAAAATTACTGAGAAACTTTTCAAAAGAGTAATGTTAAAAGCTTATCAACTGAATAGTGTTTATAATATATTGTTATGTGAAAACAACAAGCTATACAATGGTACAGTGAGTCAGTATTTAAACATTCCATTTATCAGCATTGGAAAAAATACCAAAAGGACATAAGCCACAATGATAGCAGTGGTTATCTTAAGTAGAGGACTTGCAGGTGATTTGGTCTCCTCCCCGTCCCCCATGCCTTTGTATTTTGCTATGTTTCCAAAGTTTCTGCATTGAGCAAGTATTAGCTTTGTAAGTAGGGGAAAAGGCCATTTTTAAAGTAAACATTGGCTGGGTGCGGTGGCTCACATGTGCAATCCCAGCACTTTTGAAGGCCGAGGTGGGCAGATCACGAGGTCAGGAGTTTGAGACCAGCCTGGCCAACACAGTGAAACCCTGTCTCTACTAAAAATACAAAAAAAAAAATTAGCTGGGCGTGGTGGCAGGTGCCTGTAGTCCCAGCTACTTGGGAAGTTGAGGCAGGCCAATCTCTTGAACCTGGGAGGTGGAGGTTGCAGTGAGCCGAGATTGCGCCACAGCACTCCAGGTGGGGTGACAGCATGAGACTCCCTCTAAAAAAAAAAAAAGAAAAAAGAAAGCAACCACCTATTTAAATAAATGGATGCCTACCCTTTGAAAATAATTTTATCATACACTGTGTTCCGAGTAAATCAGTAACTTAGTCTGCTTCTCTTCTATGCTGAAAGCACTCCAGTGATTCCTTTTATAATGAGCTCCATGTCTTCCGCCTTGTAATACAGCATCTATGTATACATTTCTCCTCCACTGTGAGTTCCTTGAGGTCATCTTCATGGTTGATAGTGTCTTACATATGGTGACCATAAAATAAATATTTACTGTTGAATAGAATTGAATGGAAATTAATTTATCATCCTCATCAGATGTACTCCTTATTTACATTAATAAAAATAAAGACTTTTCTAAATTAGTGATACAGAAATTTTTCCAAAACAGCAAAACTCCAAATGAAAACAAAACAAAAAACCCACTTTCTAAGTGACTTTAGTTTGCAATCTGCTTTTAGTGTCAACCTTGTCTCAGAAACAAATGAGATCTTCCAAAACAGCACAACTCCAAATGAAAACAAAACAAAAAACCCACTTTCTAAGTGACTTTAGTTTGCAATCTGCTTTTAGTGTCAACCTTGTCTCAGAAACAAATGAGATCTTCATCCGTCACTAACCTCCCAACCTTCCCCCATTCTGGGTCAGGTAATAAAGAGTTTCTAGAACTTCAAGCCTGACACTCTGACTTTTCAAAATCATTCTTATTAATGATGACTTTTCTTTCTTAGCTACTATCATAAAATGCTGACACCTTAGAAATAGATCAAATAGAGGCCTTAGCAAAGTATGCATCGAAGAATACCTTATGAATTCTAACTTCACAAATTCTGAGTATATGTTTTTACCTTGGGTAGAAAGTTTGAACTTAATTTTTTTTACGATTTCACATTTATAACAGCATTATTTTATTTAAGGCAGCCCTATAAAAGTAAAAACAATTTGCATTATTTTACTTCTTATTGTCCATCTACATAGTTTATAATGTGTAGTATTTAAAACATGCAATTATGCTTTAAATTCATATTTTAAGTTTAGCATATAAATCCACTAAAATTTCCACTAATTAAAACATTACTCCTCTTTACTTGAAATTTATAATGTTTTGCTTAGTAAAACTATTTTATCATAATAAAATATTTGAAATGGCATTTTCTCCACATTAAAATGATCTCTATTCTCATGTTTTCATTTCTATTAAACAATCATTTGCCTTTTCCAAGTTAAGTTTGCCACTAAGAAAGAAAAAGTAGAAACTACTCACTTCACTTGAATTGATCCCCCTCTACCCAGGAACTACAGAGTTTTTTCTTTTTTCCTTTTCCTTTTCTTTATTGAGACAGAGTCTGGCTCTGTCGCCCAGGCTGGAGTGCAATGGCACGGTCTCGGCTCACTGCAACCTCTGCCTCCCGGGTTCAAGCAATTCTCCTACCTCAGCCTCCTGAGTAGCTGGGACCACAGGCGCACGTCACCATGCCCAGCTAATTTTTGTATTTTTAGTAGAGATGGGGTTTCACCATTTTGGCCAGGATGGTTTCGATTTCTTGACCTCGTGATCCACCTACCTCGGCTCCCAAAGTGCTGGGATTACAGGCCTGAGTCACCCACGCCTGGCCTGAACTACAGAGTTTTTCAATGAATAAATCTATATTCTTAGTAACCACTGCAGGCATGACCGAGCAACAGTCATGTACCTTTCAGATGCAGAAGAGACACTTTTTAGTGTCTCTAACCCTTCTAACCTGACTGACAAGCTCAGACATTAAGATAAATAGAGATCCTGGCCGGTGTGGTGGCTCATGCCTATAATATCAGCACTTTGACAGGCCAAGGCAGGCAGATCGCTGCAGGCCAGGAGTTCGAAACCAGCCTGGCAAACATGGTGAAACCTGGTCTCTACTAAAAATACAAAAATTAGCCGGGCATGGTGTTGCATGCCTGTAGTTCTAGCTACTTGGGGGGTTGAGGCAAGAGAATTGCTTGAACCCAGGAGGCAGAGGTTGCAGTGAGCCAAGGTCACACCACTGCACTCCAGCCTGGATGACAGACGGAGACTCTACCTCAAAGAAAAAAAAAAAGAGAGAGAGAAAAATAGAGATCCTAATCCCAGAGGCAAAGGTATTCTGTTTTATTGTATTTACACATAAAACAAAGGAATGGCTTTAAGTTATCTACGCACCTGCTTTAATTCATTTTTTACTGGACACACACAAAAGGAACGCATCACTCTGTTTTATCTTGTGCAGAATATTAGTGGTGTTCAGCAGGAGAAAAATATGGCTCATTTTTTGTTGATGTTCAGTAATAAAAGATAATAAAAAACATTAAATTGAACTCCAAAGTAAAGAAGGGATTCTACCCCAACATTTATGTTATAACACTTTAAAGAATACTTTGAAGAAGCAATTATTCTTTTCTCATCTTCATGAATTAAATGCCAAAGGTTGCTGTTTCTGCAATTGCAATCAAGAGGAGATCCTTTTGAAATGTATAGAAATTCTATATGTGGAGCCATCACCACAGTCTTACCCCACCAATATGCTTGCAGAAAAATAACCTAGCACATTCGTCATCTTTATTTCTTTTTTCAGGTATACTCATTAAAAAGTCAGGGAGTGTGGGCAAACTTTGGTAACAGTTTTATAATATTCTATAATAGCTATGTATTAATGCTGAAGGGCTCATTACCAATTCAGATTTTATAGTCTGTAGAATTTCTGACAGTACACTATTTAAAGATCTAAAAAAGGCTGCCTTTTCTCTAGTCACCTAATTTTCACTTAGATTTCTGAAGGTAAACAGAACTATGTAGCGGGACGCATCTGGCAATCCACCCCCCACCATTTTTTCCCTTTGAGATGGAGTCTCGCTCCCATCACGCAGGCTGGAGTACGATTTCCGCTCACTGCAACCTCCACCTTCTGGTTTACAGTGATTCTCTTTCCTCAGCCTCACGAGTAGCTGGGATTACAGGCACTTGCCACCATGCCTGGCTAATTTTTTTTTGTATTTTTAGTAGAGACTGGTTTTTGCCATGTTGGCCAGGCTGGTCTCAAACTCCTGACTTCAGGTGATCCACCCGCCTTGGCCTCCCAAAGTGCTAGGATTACAGGTGTGAGCCACCGCGCCTGGCCGGCAATCCCATTTTTAGCAGAGCCAGTGCTCCAGAGAGCACTACCTAGTACTCTGTTAGTGCCAATTGCGACATCTGCTGGTGAGTTCAGAACGGGGTTGTTAAGCCCCGAATAGTGTAGAATCTGACACTCTTCTGTATTTAAAAATTTTTAAATATTTTTTCTTACAGTGAGGAAAAACAATGTTTTTATGATATCGACTCTTGTGCAAAGTAATGTTGATATAAAGAGTGCTGAACAAGGTATGTAGCTTCTATTTCAAGAACCTCAGAAATTGTATATTTTACCACCTATATTTTCATCTCCCTATATGTGCGTGTGTTGGGGGCATGGAGTTAGGTCAGAGTGACAAAACATGAAGAAATAATGCAAGCAAGCCAGGTTTCATGATCAAAATGAATAGTTATTGGGCAAAAGCTAGGCAGGGTGTGAGTGCTGGGGAACTCAATGCTAATTTTGACTTCGATTAATTAACACTAGTCCCTCATTTAAACATGACTTTAGAAAATAAGAATTCTATTACTTAAAAATAGGGGGTAAAGGAATATTGCACTAAAAATATATTTATCTTTTAATTCTATTCTTTTAAGGTCCTGTGAAACATTCTAAACATGTTATTAGACCTGCTATTTTGCAGCTACCTCAAGCTCAAAGTTGTGCAAAAGTAAGAAAAACATTTGGACACAAGGCACTGGAATCCTGCAAGATTAAAGAAAAAACAAATAATAAGGTGAGAAAGCCCAGGATAACAGGACTGACCTCAATCCTTCATCCTTCCTTTTGTAGGTTGTTTGGGGCCTCCATATCCAGAAATAGGAGTTGCCTGAGCTTTGTTTTGTTGCTGGGCTAGATAGCATAAAGCCCTTGGTAACCTTTTTAAAGTTGTACTCTTACATTGGAGAGTTGTAGTCTCACAAATCTATGGTCTCTCTAAAGTTATAAAGCTGAGTACTGAGCAGTAGAAATCTGGGGGTCTTGTGCCACAGCAATGACCCTATGTGAGAATGGGGACAGCAATGAGGTAGCCAGGGGCCATAGTCAGTAGTCAAAAAAGAGACATGGATTTTCTCTACATCGTCAACTGGTCAACATCACAGTGTATCTTTGCCAGTTTAGGTCATACCAGGGGTTCACTTCAGAGCCATATTCCAGTATAACAGGAGCAGAGAACTCCCTATACAGTGTAATTGGAAGGGTCTGGGAAGCCCCCAGAGACAGATAAGAATTCTAACTTCCTACTATGTAGTGTCTGAATCACTCTTTGTAGGCCTTTCTAAAGAGATAGTAACTTACACAAGCCATGCAGATACGGGTTTCGGGATATATTCAATTGTTGTAATGCTACCCCTGTCTTCCAGCAGAAGCAGACACAGGAGGAACAGGACTCAAAGATAGGCAGGTTGGAATTTGACAGTTATTCCATCTTAGCCATTTGTTTCCAGATGAACTACTGAGGATTGGTCACATAGTTTCGCTTTGTTTTGTCTTCCCTTAGTGAACATAAGGACAGAAACATTCAAGTGTAAAAAAATACCAGCTTGGTATTAATCTTGCCTCTGCCACTATCTTTGTTTATCTAAACAAAGCACCCATTCAACATCTTTTTTTATCAGCAAAGTAAGGGACTTGAACTTGGTCAGCATTTACCAATATTTTTATATTTCCAAACCCTTTACTTTGTAAGATATGATTTGGAGAGATCCATTATGAACTTAAAAAATCATTTCATCATTTATGCATGCTATATAAGTAATTTTTAAGTAAAATATGTCTTCAATTTTAGATAAGTATATTACTGTTTTCATTTAAATATAATGTAATAATTATCACCAAGTTACATAATTCCTTACTTTTATTTAAGAAGTCATATGGCCGGGCATGGTGGCTCATGCTTTTAATCCTAGCACTTCGGGAGGCCGAGATGAGTGGATCTCTTGAGCTAAAATGTTCCAGACAAGGCTGGGCAACATAGTAAAGCACTGTCTTTACAAGAAATATAAAAATTAGCTGGGCATGGTGGCATGTGCTTGTAGTCCTAGCTTGAGCCCGGGAGGCAGAGGTTGCAGTGAACCGAGATGGTACCAGTTTGGGTGACAGGGCCAGACTGTCTCAAAAAAGAAAAGAAAAAAAAGAGTGATGCATGGTGTTTAACTTGTTTTAAATTATGTAATAGGAAGTATAATGTGTTGACTAATTTCTAAAAAGTTACATTGCATTTGATTTTAAAATGGCATGTACTATAAATACACAGCAAGATTTTAATTACATGCTATGACATCAAAAGCACATCAATATTTCTTTCTTGGCAGGATTTTTGTAAACACTGCATTGCATATTTTTAAAATAAAATTTATTAATATATTTCTTCCATTTTTTTTCCTAAATGATCCAAGCATAAGAGAAAATTTCAAGTTATTGTTTATATTTATTTTTGAGAAAATTATAAGGTCTAGTGAATAAACCTTATTTCCAGTTATTGAAAATCCTTACTGTATATGCCCATCATTAAACAGAAAATTTAATGCCCATCATTAAATAGAAAATTTAATGCCCATCATTAAATTTTCCATTTAGTGATCTTTGAAGATCCAGAGACACACTGTATATAAGATCCTATGTAAGAATTTTGACCAAATGAATGTAAGTTAAGATTTGGTGAAAACTCTCTAGGTGGATTTTGTAGAACCATTATCTTTATATTTCTTATTAACTTGTATATCAAAATCAGATAAATTATTTTCATCCTATCATTAATCAATGGTTACTTAATATGTATAGATTAAACAGTATATGCCTAAATAACTATTTTAACCAACATAGGAGTGAAAGCTACCATTTCGACTGAGAGCTACATCATCTGAGTGACTAGGTCATGAGCATGTACTTTGATCTTTGCTAACCATGGCACATGCTCTCTTGATACATATTTGTCAGTTCTCAAATTCTTGTTAAAAAAGAAAAAGTATTCAAAATTGTTTTTATTGATTGAAATAAAAATCTAAGTGGAAACATATCCCATCTGGCTTTAAAAGATATGAACGACCTGAAACATCTTTGCAAATCCCTGGTCGAGGAAGGAAGGTGTCCACAATACATTGTAAATACTAGACCAGATAATTTATAGGGTTCCTTCCAATTCTAAATTTCCTCACTCTTACATTTATATATTAATTCAGGTATTGTGCATACACATATGTACATAAGGCAAAGTAACTGGGTAAGTTACCAGTTGAAAATTTTAAGATAAAGAGATGAGTGGGGTTTTCTCTTACACTGGGTGACTAGGATGGTGACATTTTTGGGTGTTACCAAGGATTACATAGTCCTGAAAGTGAGCTTTACTAATCCAGAAATGAGAATTAACCCAATTTGACTAAAATGGCAAAAATAACAAAACATAGTGGGATTTCTGAATATTATGATATTCTGGTATTAGACAGATCTCCATTGTATGTAAGTGACCTGGACAAGTTATTTAAGTTCTTTGTGTCAGTTTACTCACCTGTAAAATGTGGATAATAGAAGTACAAAGTGTATAGAGTTGTAAGGAGTAAATGAGATAGTACATAAAATGCTTAGGGCAGTACTTAAACATAGTAAGTTTTCAATATGTTTAACTATAACTATTGTTTCCTTGTCTGATGGTCCTATAGTAAGGTAGTCTTTATAAACTTTTTGATGGATTTCTTTACTTTCAGATTTCTGAGGGAAATTCCTATTTGTCAAGTGAAAATTTATCAAGTGCCAGAATTTCAGTCCAGCTGTCTACAAACCAGCACTTTTTAGGTGCAACATCAGTAGAGTAAGTTAATAATGAGAAAACAGAAGGGTTGTCCTTTCATTCTTGCATTCTTTTATTATTATAACCAATCATGGAAAATAATTTTCTGACCTTGTATGTATAAACTGCCAAGATTCCCATTTGAAAGGAGATTTTATAGGAACACAAGTTTAAAATGTTTTTAAAAAATTTCTGATACTTAAATATTATCATATTAATACTGGATTGTCTTCATTGTTTCATTGACTTGGGTGAGAACTTTTTGAAAATGTATGGCTAAACTTTTATTTGGTTGGGCATAAATTATCTGGTTAGTAGATTAGGCTCTCTTCCTCTCTCTCTGGTGTTTCTTTCTTTTATTTTGGCATTATTAATTTTTTATTGGCATGGGTTAGATAAACAACAAGGAAAGCAGTATAAATCTGCCATATTTATTAGTATGTATTAGTATTACTAGTGATGAATAAATGTTTGATCTGAGAGATTAAAACTAGCTGTGGATATAAACTGACTCACATGACTGGGCTCTGTCCACATGCGGTAGCAGGTGCCTTCTGTGCACATTGGGGATGCAATGACGAACCCTGAGCACATCTGTCTACAAAGAGAGGGCTTCCTGTCTTCAAGTTTCTCATCAGGAAAAACACTTTTAACATTAAAAAAAACGTTTCTGGGAGGCAAAAAAATTTAAGCCAATGCACACTCAATTATAACAGATAGGGTTTTGCTTTTGCCCTGGAGATCTCTGGTTGCTAAAGGCATCAGCCACTTGGGGAAGGGAAGAGTGCAAATTAGGTATTAGACAGGGTGTGCTGGAAAAGCAAAAAGGGTTGGGCAGTCCTCCTGGCTGACCACACAGCCAGTGCAGTGATGGCCATGAGGCAGTCAGGACTGGTCTCTCTGTCAGTGCTGTAATAGCTGGAAACTATCTTGACAATCACCTCTGGATGCCACTATTTGAATTTTTCTTTCATTTCTCATTAAATTCAAACTAACAAAAATGAGCAGTAAATTTGATTTACATAAATCTATTAAATTATC